CGATGTTCCACAAGAGCGCTTTCCTATTACTGGTATTGGCCATAGCTCTCGCCATCGCTGAGCCACCGCGCTTCCTTTCACGCCCAAACCGTTTCCAGCAGCGTCGTCCATTTCTCGCACGTCAACAGTCCGTACCCGCAGCACCCCAGCCCGAATTCGCGGCTTACCCTTTGGCTGATGAACTGAAACCGGAAAATCCCTTTCAAGTTGAGGAGGAAACTAGCGAACCAGACTTAGTTTACGGCCCACCAGACGCCACTTACGGACCACCATTGCCCGCCACTGATCCCTTGCCAGCCGTAGAATCGCCGCCACAGTTTGCGACCAATCCAGATGCTGAGGAATTTGAACGCCTCACTCAAAGCCGTCCCTCGTCCCGCGTCCAACAGCGTCCCCAGCAACAACGCGCCCAAGTACATCTTGTGCAACGCACTCAACACCCACAACGCCTACAGCAAAGAAAGAGACAACAAAACGCCGTTGTTAAGCAGGTTGTGAATGCTCCTCAACGCCAAAAGGCTACCATTAAACGAGTGGTGAGCACACAGCAATTGGTAGCTAGGCCTGCGCCAGCGCCCGCTGCTGCTGTGGTTGTGGCAGCACCCATTGCAGCAGCTGCGTCGACTGCAGTAGCGCCCGCGAAGGTGGTTATCTCCTCGGAACGCCTAGTGGCAGTGGAACCTGCGTCCGCCTTCAGTGCCGCCGTTAGTACGCCACTGGGAGAGTCTTATGTAGTCATCAATTCGCCATTCGCTTTAACCTCGCAATTTCAGGCGTGGTAAGGTGGCGCATTTTGTTATATTTATATCTGTTTTGGGGAATGTTTCAGAAAAATTATAAATAAAAAATAGTCGATAAAAAACGAAAATTACGCACCATTTGTTCTCAACCGGTTTGTGTTCATATTAATAAGTTCTTCCTTTAAGAGTAGGTTTGCCTTTAAATACAGCGGCTCATTTCTGTGTTTTGCCGGGTAACCGATTTCATTTTAATTTCGGTTTACATGTTTTGCATCCACGCTTATTTCGCAATGAACTGAATTTGTTCGATGGAAGAATTTATTGTTTATTTGCAAGTTCAGTACAACGCAATACATTCTTGAGGACTCTGATCATAACATCATTTACCGTAATTGAAAATGGCGTTAAACTTTGTCCGCATAACTTCAGCAATGGTATAACAATACCCCCACAATCTTCCAATTATTTTCCCC